AGAAAGAATGAGAGAACCATTCAGCTAGCCCCAATGACCTGGGGGGAGGGGGAGCGGGTAGCTTGCAAATCCCCTTACTCACCGAAATGGGCCCCTTTTGTGTGATTTCCTGCGGAGGCAGCAGTCAGGGCTGCTATATATACAGCGGCACTCCCCCTCGGCCCACACAGCACCCAGCGAACACCTCCTGCTCACTCTCTCCAAAATGGGAAAGGTAAGTGCTGGGTCCCTGATGCTCAATGTTTGCCCTGGCGCAGCATCTTCGGCGGGGACACATGGTCTTATGCTCCTGCATCTTCCATTTTGCAGATCACCTTCTACGAGGACCGGGGCTTCCAGGGCCGCTGCTACGAGTGCAGCAGCGACTGCCCCAACCTGCAGCCCTATTTCAGCCGCTGCAACTCCATCCGCGTGGACAGCGGCTGCTGGATGCTCTATGAGCGCCCCAACTACCAAGGCCACCAGTACTTCCTGCGGCGCGGGGACTACCCCGACTACCAGCAGTGGATGGGCCTCAGCGACTCCATCCGCTCCTGCCGCCTCATCCCCCAGGTGAGTGTGGCTCTGTCTTTGTCTCTGATCTCTTTGGAAGTGAAAGCCATGAACAGATACCATTCTTCAACCAAATCATTCCAAATAGACAGCAGAAAGTGGGAGTGAGCCTACCGTTTGCAGTCCATTCTAGAAGGATGTCTCAGATGGGAAGCCATTCTTCATGAACCCTATGGTGTTTACTTTTTTACTCAAATGTTTCCAGATTTTTATATTTTAAATGGAATAAAAAATTAAAAAGCCAAAGTCTAATTAGGAAAAAGCCAGGACATATAGAAAACAAAAGTTGCCATCTGTGTAAGATATAACCTCTCTCCCTCTTTTTTTAATGTTTATTTATTTTTGAAAGAGACAGAGCATGAGTGGGGGAGGGGCAGAGAAAGAGGGAGACAGAATCCCTGCAGGCTTCAGGCTCTGAGCTGTCAGCACAGAGCCCCACACAGCCTGACACAGGGCTCGAACCCATGACTGTGAGATCATGACCTGAGCCAAAGTTGAATGTTTAACCGACTGAGCCACCCAGGCACCCCAAGATATAACTTAAAGTGGTCATTCTGAGCTGTATCAACTCAGAAATAATATATCAAAACTCATAGATACAATCTGGGTTGGCTTTTTTTTTTTAAGTGTATTTATTTATTTTGAGAGAGAGAGAACACAAGTAGGAGAGGAACAGAGAGAGAGAGAGAGAGAGAGAGAGAATCCCAAGCAAGCTCTGCACTGTCAGCACAGAGCCTGATGCGGGGCTCAAACCCACAAACCACAAGATCATGGCCTGAGCTGAAATCAAGAGCCCGATGCTTAACTGAGCCACCCAGGTGCTCTGGGTCTGCTTAAATGATAAAACTATGTTTGCTTCCTTTGGCCCACTTTCCTATTTAATTATCTTCCTGTCCTCTGGTTTTTATTCTGATTTCATGGTCAGTAACTATTAGTTCATTTAGAGGTATAAATAAAAGGAAAGGCCAAACCCAAAATCAAAGTTTGAAATTCAATATTTCCTGGAGAGTGATTGCACCATTCTTAGAGGAATGTGCTGGAGTGTGGAAGGCATGGGATATGTGTCATCCAAACAGAGCTTAATGGAGATGGTTTTCATTGCTGAGGAAAATAAAGACATCAAGGGAAAAGACCAGAAAGGAAATTTAAGCACAGATAGGTTGATATCTGAAGTGAAACTGATGTGATGAACACAAAGATAAAGAAAATGTATCATCTTATTTTTTTTTTTACAAGAGATTAATAATCCTGAGTTCCCAGTGTACAGAATATAGCTACATGTTGATCCCTTTTTAAGGAAAGTAATGTATCAAATGGGACTCTGCTTTCCAATGACTTACACTTTTCACCTTTGCGAAGGACCTTCTCTAACAACAAGCACTAACATGATCAATTTTATTTTGGACAAATCTTGGTTGCTAGGGATGAAGATGTGGACAGCAGTGAAGGGCTGCTGAGTTCTGTTCCTAACATTACCCATAAATCTTTAGATGCCTGGGTGGCTGACAGAGGAGGGAAGGCTCTTTAACACTGCAATATGATTTTTCTGGAAGCAAATCTGGACTCTGACAACTTCTGGGCAGGTTTGGTCAGGGAAGTGCAGGGGCTAGAACTTCTATTTCTCTCCACTTATGTTCATTTACTTTTTCTTTTCTGCCACCCCAGCATGCCGGCACTTTCAGAATGAGGATCTATGAGCGAGATGACTTCAGGGGACAAATGTCAGAGATCACAGATGATTGCCTCTCTCTTCAGGACCGCTTCCATCTCAATGAAATCCACTCTGTCAATGTGCTGGATGGCTGCTGGGTCCTTTATGAGATGCCCAGCTACAGGGGAAGGCAGTACCTGCTGAGGCCTGGGGAGTACAGGAGATACCTTGACTGGGGGGCCCTGAATGCCAAAGTTGGTTCTTTCAGACGAGTAATGGATTTTTACTAAAGTACTTACATTCTCCCCTTTTCTCCTTTAAAATCCAATAAAATATTTAGCTTGTGTTTCTGGCACTATGGAGTCCTGCTTTTCTTTCAACCTGTTAAGCCTTCATAAGCAATAATGACACTTCGTCAAACATAATGACAGATGTTTTCATGATGCAAAACAAAGTCTTATAAGGGGAGTAAAGGGTATCATCGCCAGCCTTCTTTTAATGACCCACCTATGTAGGCTCAAGGTTCAATTCAACTGAGCAAACGCCCTCTATGCTTAGTCTTAAGAGAATACTTTTGTAGCTCCATTGATACATAAGTAGATATTGTAACACCCAAGTTATCCTTCTAGGTTATCCCCACCATGTTTTCTATATAGTCCAAGCCTTAGCTAATGAGGAAAGTTGTTCTTAGCATCTAGACCCTTACTTTAGCATCAAAAGCAAACGAACAAACCGATCACCCTTACCTGTTGCATGCCTCCTCCTTCTAACAGCAGCCAATTCCATGTCCAATGCTGTATTGTATTTCTCCATGAGGTTTTCAGTACAAATAGAATTCACTGCCTCTTTGCTGTATGTGCTTTATAGAAGAATTTCAGGATTTCTACCAAAGCCACATGCACATAGGGGAGCTCAGCTCCCTATCTTTTTAATAGGAAGTAAAGAATTACAACTATACATGGAAAATAATACAAAGAAGAAAACAAGGAATTGAAATGTCCTGGAGCAGTTTGTTTGATGGTATATGTGTTTCCTTTTGGTATGTTTATTTTCCAGGGGTGAGGTTTGAGCCCAAGTTGCATCTTGTTATCTACAGCACTATGTTGGCCATAGATAAAGCCAGATTTGAATCCAGCAGCCAAGACAGAGAGGGGAAACAAGATAAGTCCTATGACTAACAGAGTCCATAAGATAAACCAATTAATTACTCAAGACTAACCTAACCGTTCCCCAGTACCAAAATCTAAAAGAAAGTTTTCATGGGGGTCCCAGTAAAGAGAGTACCGAACAAACAACATCCTTAATATCATCCTGCGGTAATTAAATATGGTTCTTGAGTCTGTTTCTTACAAAGTTCCACAATGAAATTGATGGCTTCAGATCAAAACTCAGCCAAAGTACCCCATTCTTTGGGATTCTAATGAAATGGCTGAAATGTCATCTCAACGTGGAGTGGGAGACTTGTGTACCCACTTTCTCCAACATATATATACTCAATGTCTCTTGGAATTCTGGAAAGGGAATGGGCTGCTTTTACTTTTCCCAATAACCCTCCACTCTGAACTCCTGCCTTATCATTGGGTGGGTCATTATGTTCTTCCCCATGTGACCAGCCCCATACATCTCATGGGCTCAGATGGGAGACAGTTTCTTTTCCTTGAGTTCCTGGACTATCCCTCACGTAAAGCATTCGCGTGTGCAGACAACTTTATTATGGAGGTTGTGGGAGGAGAGATACAAGTTTAGATCACAGTAGTACAACAATACAAATATTAGATGGCCCTGCTCTAAACAGTCTGCAAGCTCCAATCTGCAAGCAACTGGGTGGCTTGGTCTTCTTCTTTGTTCTTATTCCTCTCTCCCCTATTCTGAGCTGTACCCACACAGCTGTTCCTTTTTTAGTTTCCTTCCATCCCATGCCCTCAGGGCCTCCACATCTCCATATCTAGGACCAGAGCGAGCATCTAATTTGTTGCTTAACCTGAGTCATTTTTAAGAGTGAAAGTGTGTGCTATTAAGGATTACAATGGGGCAAGAGGCATGAACCAGGAGTATTCCAGGCAAACTGGGGCACAAGGTTAGGCTATTTATAAAAGTTCTTTCCCTGGAAAATAGTCAGATTTTTGAATTGGTTGGTATTAATTATTCCTAACTCTTAGTTCTTCAACCTTTAAACTCCCAATGACAGTATTAGCTTCCTGGAGATGTTAGCCACAATTCTCTGTTTGTCAGTAATAATAACATCAAGCATAAATTAGAAAGTCAAAAGCTTCTTGGAGGGCTGAATTTCACATCATTTGCCTGATAGCCATAAAGTCACAGGCTGCAGACATGGAAATTATCCTGAAACACCTGAACTGATAGCACATAAAATTAGAGACCCTGGGTATCATTGATCAAGCTTTTCTTCTTGAAAATTATATTTCCATCCTTGGAGAACAGGCAAAGAGAAAAATATCTTCCCTCTAATTCCAGCATTAAAAAAATGTCAACAGAGGGGCGTCATGGCATTAGGAGAGGGACAACGCTCACACTAATCTGTCACCTATGCTTCCTCCTCTCCCTCCTCTCTTGAAAGTGCACACTGGAACCTCAGAGAGGTGAAAGGGTCTGAGATGAAAGCAGCCCCCAAGACTGGAATGCAAGAAGGGACACCCTACAGGATCCCACTAACCTTTTCCCAATGACAACAGAAACACAACTCAAGATAACCCCAGTGTCAAGCCTACATACCCGATACACACTGGTATTTCCCATAGGTCCTAGTTCACAATAAGCCCAGGTTGTATGTCTTTTTTCTTATATGGAATGCTTCAAGAATTTGCATGTCATCCTTGTGCAGGACCATGCTAATCTTCTCTATATTGCTCCAATTTTACTATGTGTGCTGCCAAACTGAGCACCAGAATCTAAAGCTTTTTATTCCTTTTCTCTTTGTTTCTCCTTTTGAATCTATAGTGTCTTCTGGCCAATCTAACCTTATAGAAGACCCACCGAGCAAAGCAACTAAGGTCATTCCATAAAGAAGTGCCAAGAACTGCTATACTGATGTCTACCCTCAAAGAGTGTTCCTCCTATGGGTTCTCTCTCCAGTGACCCTGCCTCACTGCCAGATGGTTAGGTCCTGATCCTAGTTTTGTCTTATTTCCTCTTCTCCAGACTTTAGGGATGCTTTTTTGTGGGTTTATTAAAGCAAAAGTGACTATCGCAACCACCTGAACAAGAAGAAATGCATTATGTTTAACATAAAAGCCAATTTGATCCAAATGGAATGCCATAGGAGGAGCAGAGGTGGGTCATTGGTTGCCCCCTGTCTTCTTGTCATTTATTGAACAGTCATCAAAGACAAGCTGAGAAAGAGAACCAGAAACTGGTGCTATGATGGTGATGCCTTGTCTCTCTCCCAGCCTCCTTGTTTGGGATAGTTTGGTCCATGTAACTGCCAGCCAGATGGCCTTTTCTCATTTAACCAAGCATGTATATGATACAAATGCTACATGAATTACCAGGAAGCAGGAGGGTGGGTTTAAGATCAACTGCTGGCTGGACCTCAGACACTAGCAATACTCTGGAATTGGACACTGCTGTTGTAATATTAACTTGGCATCTCAGGAAACACAAAAATTAGAATTACCAAGGAACAGAGGGTTTAGGGGATAACGCAACATTCCTGTTTTCTCTCTTTTGCTTACTCATCTCCCTTGTTATAAAAGCCCATTAAATAGATCAAATGCAGAGTGCTTGTGTCATCCTACACACTGAAAGTTGCAAATACTGAACTCTGATGTGAGTGCATATGCCTGTTGTGCTGAGCATTCAAAATAGGTCTCATGCACCGTTACAACAATGGGATTCAGACTAGGGAATAACATTCATATCCTCCAGGCATTTAATGAATTGCCTTTACGTGCCTGTTCGTTTTGATAATCAGTGTGAATACGAAAATAAAGGTGGAATCATCCAGAAAGGAGCTCTCCTCATTTGTTTTAAGGATCTGATGTCTAAACAAAATAATTAGATAAGCAATCATTAGATAACCATTGCAGTGGTATGAGCAAGATGCTTGGTAGAACCAAGTAGGCAGTATTGAATTCAGCCTGGAAGATTAGGAAAGGTTCAAGAAAATCTTTACAGAGGAATTGATACCTGAGTTGAACCTGTAAAAAGGAGGTTAAGATCTCTCTGGGCAAAAAATGTAGAACTGGTGTCTCAGGGAAAAGGATCACTACATTAAAAGACAAGAGAAGTATATAGCACCAGCTTCCAACTGTAAGGTGAGTAAGTTCTGGGCATCTAATGTACAGCATAGTGATTATAGTTAATCATACTGTGTTATAAACTTAAGAGTTGCTAAGAGAGTAGATCTGAAATGTTCTCACCACAAAAATTATTAATTATGTGATGTGACACAAGGGTCAGCTAACACTGTGGTGGTAACCATCTTGCAATACATAAATGTATCAAATCAATATGTTGTACACCTAAACTTATATAATGTAATATTTCAATTATATCTCAGTAAAACTAGGGGGTAAATGAGAAATGTGAAAATAATAGTGTACATTTGAGAAACAACAAGTGATTCAGTGTGATCAGTCAGGAAGTCTGGAGACAGACAGAAGACCTCAGATCAGGTAGTCCATGCTAAGGAACTGGTACTTGATTCTGGCTCTGGTCATGATGCAGGGTTGGGGGATTGAGCCCCATGTCAGGCGCCGTGCTGAGCATGGAGCCTGCTTGAGATTCTCTCCCTCACTGCTCCTCTTCCCTGCTCCTGCATGCTCCCTCTCTCTAAAAATAACTTAAAAATAAAAAAATGCCATGGACGGGATTACTTAAGCAAACATTTCTTTCTCACGGTTCTGGAGGCTGGGGAGTCTAAGGTCAGAGTGCCAGTAGATTCCGTGTCCAGTGAGAGCAGGCTTCCTCGTCCAAGGGAGGAAGCAAACTCTTTCCCGGCTCTTCTTATAAGGACACTAATCCTATCATAATGTCTTCACCCTCATGATCTAGTTATCTCTCAAGGTTGCATCTCCAGACATCATCACCTGGGGGTTAGGGGTTTAACATATGAATTTGGAGGGGACACAAACATTTGGTCCATAGCAAGGACATTACTTGATGTGTTTTGCTTCTTTTTACTTTATTTTATTTAAAAAAAAATTTATTTTAGAGAGAGAGAGAGAGAGCACAAGCAGCGGAGAGAAAGAGAGACAGAGAGACAGTCTCAACCCAAGCAGGATCCACGCTCAGCACGGAGCCCAACTCAAAGCTTGATCCCATGATCCTGGGATCATGACCTGAGCTGAAATCAAGAGTCAGATGCTCAACCCACTGAGCCATGCAGGTGCCCCTATGTGTTTTGCTTCTGATCACCTTGGCAACCTGACAGAATGCAGTTTGGAAGAAGGCAAGGCAGGACAGAGTCGGGAGACTGTGGACAATCTAGTTGAGATATCGTGAGAATCCAAGAAAGGCAGCTGCAGTGGTGGTGTATTGGGGGAGTGGGTAAAGGAAGGGAAGGCAGGGGCCCCAAGAGAGAAAGAGAAAGATCTGGAAAAAAAAAAAAAAAGACTGAATTTTAGTACTATGCATTTTCTGACCCCTCCACTTCTTTTCCTATCTAGCCAACTTTATAATTTAAATACTAGTATTTCTGCTTTGATTCCCTTATATGTGCATATAAAACTTTGTAGAACAAAGCAGAGAGCTCTTCTGCCTACATGTTTAAGGAAAATGATGTATACGTGCTAATAAAGCTTTAGCTGGAGATGGCTAAAACATACGTTTTCTTAAAAAAAAAAAAAAAAAGAGTAAACCAGACTAGTGTTTTTTAAAGTTTGATACAAGAATGATCTGGTGCAGGTTAGAAATACAGATTCCTGGGGGCACCTGGGTGGCTCAGTTGGTTAAGCGTCCAACTTCAGCTCAGGTCATTCTCTCATGGTTTGTGAATTCAAGCCCTACATCGGGCTCTGTGCTGACAGCTCAGAGCCTGGAGCCTGCTTCCAATTCTGTGTCTCCCTCTCTCTTTGCCCCTCCCCTGCTTGCACTCTGTCTTTCAAAAATAAATAAACATTTAAAAAGAAAAAGAAAGAAATACAGATTCACGGAGTCTTTTCCACATCTAATCATGCAAAATCTCAGGAGAGGGTAGGGCCTGGCAATTCACAGTTTTAGCAAGCACAGGTGATTCTTACACACCCTGGAGTTTGAAAGCCACTAGATGATTTCTAAAGTCCCCTTCCCCCTCCAAATATATGTGCAAAATGGCTTCATAGCAAGGAAATTTTTCAGACATCTTTGAGAGGATTGAGTATGTTTGAGAGAGATAAATAGGCTGAAGTCATTCTTAGTAATGTTGCACTATTACTAACATGAGACATGTACTAATGCTCATTTGTGCCGTTTGTGCCAAACACCTTGTACACATAATCCCATTTATTCATGTCAATGTCCCTCTGCCAGAGACCACCAGAACACCTGTCACAAAACAAGTTGGGCTTATTGCTTGTTATAGCAAGGAAGTCACACACCACGGGAAAGCATGGAGTGTCTCAGCAAAGGGTGTTAGCAAAAGGTGTTATTATAGAGTCTGCACTTTGGTTGGCTGATTTGGGGAAGAGTCTGAAAAAGTAGGTGTTCGCTCTAAACTGGAGTTGTCACCAAGTGCAGGTAATGTTATGATTCAATATCTCAATAAATCTACTCATGGGAAGGGTAAGCCTAGATCAAGGAGAAAGCTACAGTTGATAAAGAGGTAGCAGTTAATTGTGAGGGCTGAGAGGGAGGTGTTTGGTATTGTGTGGGTGACACAGTGACTTTGTTTTTGCGTGTGCTTGGACATTATGAAGTGGCCTTATTTTGTCTCACTGCATCATGGTCTCAGAGGAACCTTGCCTGCACGTCACATTCTATGAGACGGTTTATGTCTAACAGAGGAAAAACACGGCCTTGCTCTGAATGCCAGGGCAGCTCCTGAATGCCAAGACCTCTCTTTATTTTTTTTCTTTCTTTTACAACTTACTATATCCTATGACATAAGTACTAGGAAATAACTCAGGTTCTGAGAGATTATGTGGCTTGCCAAGTTCACGTGGCTCCTAAGTGGACATTCTGAGTTTACAAAGCTTTACTGCCTCCCCAGGCCAGGTCCTGTGAAAGGGAAGTACCCTAAAAAGCGATATAGTTCTGAGTCTTGGACCCAAAGACCATGGAAACGTTTCCCTTGGTTCTTATCACAAGTTGAGTTCCAGGGGCTGATTTCTAGTACTTGAAGTGCACCCACCAAAGGAGTAGTAGCGATGTCTTGTGTCAGGTCACCACAATCAAAACTCAAAGGATCAGAAACCAGACCTGTGTCCTACACTAGACTGACAAATCATATAAAGAAAAAAATGTTAAGTTACAGTGGCTTCTGTCATCAAGGAAAATTAGTCCACGCTTGCGGCATTCTACGCTGCAGACAGCCCCTGGAAGAGTCGGGCACTTCTGTAAAGACGTAGGTTTTCCCGCAAAAACTACATGGAGCATAATTGAATCATATCTGTAGAGACATGAATTTCAGGTCAAAAGTTCAGACTGATGTGCTGATAAATTTAGAAAATACTAAGAATCCACATAAAAGCAACTCTAGGGACTCAACCAGGACACATTCAGAACAGCGTTGGAATATACCAGAGAATGAGGGCAAACTCTACAGGCATTTCCACTGAATGCAGCGTGTAAAAGGGATCCATAAAATCCCCTTACTCACCCCCGGGGGCCCCTTTTGTGTTGTTCTTGCCAACGCAGCAGCAGCCTGGCTATATATACCCGCGGCGCTGCCGGCCCAGCGCACTGAACTTGCCCATCCGTGTCAACCAGCCATGGGAAAGGTGAGCAGGCTACAAGTTAAAGAAAA